TAACCGAAACATCTTCAGTGTTCAGTAACTGCATGATATCTAGCAGCTTTAACCATGTTTCCATTCACTTAATGGATATGTGCTGCATATTGTAATGTAATTTCATGGAGGATCTCACTTCAGGTGTTTGGAATTACTCATAACCATCTGCTACAAACATGTCAGTGTAGCAGCCCGAATAAAAAAAGTAGCAAGCGTTAGAGATTGAGATGAAATATTTGATGAAAATTTTACTCCATCATCTAGCACTCACTCACCAAAAAAGCGGGAAGACAACCAAATGTGCTGAGTACAATGCACTTACTGATAAGTGGAATGCTGGGAATAACCTCACGACAATTACTTTAATGAGACAATACTAGTTGTACGAAAGTTACCCAGGAAGGGAAGTATTATTTGTCTACATAATTTTCAAATGAATCATAAATAACATGAAATGAAGTTGAAACACACTATGCAACAATAGAATCATCTCTTTGAATCAATAACTATTCTAACTAATAAATCAATAGTTGGTGATTACTAAAAATCACATGATACAGAAACTTTAGTCAATACTTCAAATAGCATCCATCATCGCATCATTTAGATTGTGTAAAAGTTTTCGTGAACAATCTGTATATACGTATACGTGTCTTATTCAAAATGTAAATCAATATGGGATTATTATCAAAGGAACTCCGTCTGTAAAGTATTTTAGTCATATATAAGCTAAGCAGTTATTACTAGACTAAATACTTTCACAAGTTTGATTGTTTGCATCGCATACAATTCAACAATTATAGGTAATGATTTTAATCAACAAATTGGAAAATAGGCTGAATATAATTACTTTTTTATTAATGTATTTCATTAATGAATGATAATGATCTATCACAAAAGAAATTAAGTATGATGAGAACAAACGGTGAATTGACGATTTAACAAAAGATTCATGAGTTTAAAGATGTAACCGCAGGAAAAAAAATGTCATAGAAAATATAGAATTATTTTGATATGTATTGCAATCAGAAAATAGAATGAATTAACCGATAAATTCCTAAAGATAACCAAACAAACATCCATCCATCCACACATATACATACAAACAAACATTATGATATATCTAATTAACAAAATAAACAAAAGATTACAGTAGTTTAATAATTCAATAGTTATAAATATATTGTTTTACTGACAATCATAATAATATTAGTATTCTTCGAAAAAAATATACAAAACATGATAGAACCGAAAAGAAAAACTTAAAACCCTTTTGTTTAACTGTTTGTAACTTCACAATGAAAAAATAAAAACAAAAACAAACATGAGAAATAAAAAAAAAGAATATTAGATTAAAATGGGAATAAAGATAAGTGTGTACAAAAATGTATAAGCTGATACTTATTTAAAATTATCATAGGCAACGATACTGGTAATGAAAACAAATTACAGTAAAATACAGTAAAATAATAGAAATGAATAATGATAATAAGAATAAACCAAAGTATATGAGTCAAAAGAATAAATGATAAGTGTATAGATGACTATGCATTGTACAATTTTAATAGTAAATAAGATTCATTTAAACTGATGCCAACATACTCAAGAAGTGTTTGATGATAACAATATTCTTCATTAATAATAAATATATATTTTTGTTATATCCCAATGAGTAAACAATTGTATTTTTGACGTTTCGTAGCTTAATGTAATCAACTTCTTCAATGTTTCCTTGGTACTATTTAAACATATGTAAATTAAATTCGGTTATTTATTTACTCTGAAGAAGTGGCGTACAATAGGTCACGAAACGTCAGGGATAAAATTATCTACTCATTGGGATATAACAAAAAAATATATTTATTATTAACCTTGTACCCAAAGTTCAATTTATCTGAAACTATCAAGACTAACCTTGGCATCGATACCTACAATATTATTCATTATTGTCAATATGATACATGAGAAAGATGTCAGTAAAGTATTGCAATTATCAATAGTTGAGAATGAATATATCCGTATACGTTTGCATAACAAAGCAACATAATTAAAATAACAGTAACTGGAAATACAATTTACAACAAAAAAGGAAAAGAAAACTTCATAATGAACAATTATAAACCTTAGAATTGAGTTTGTGAAATTCCATTGAAATCAATATGGGAGAAAACGACGTAACTGTAAAATTACTAGGCAAGTATTTATTAAAGAAAGTTTTTCTGTTTTAATAGTAAAAAAACAAATAAAAAACCGATCACAACGAATATTATTTTTGAGAAAAAATAGAAGTCAGTATTGAAATTCAGAGGTTATTAGGTACGGATTAGGATCGTGGATATTGTACGTCGAATCAGACATTGGAGCCAAATCAGTATATATATATATATATATATATATATATATATATATATATATATATATATATATATCATAGAATTCGAGAATTGAACAGATTCTGAATAGCTTTAATAAAGATTTAAAAAACATGAGAATTCGATAAATAAAACATTTCATATACAATTTACAAACAATTTATTACGTGGAACAATAAATAAACGAGATTAATCTAATCAAACGAGACAGAATCAAATCAATATTTTCACTACAAATTTCTAATATGATTACTTTCCAAACAAACTCGTTATGTAAACAGTAACATTCTGATTTAAAAGAATATTTAAAGTAATAATTTCTATTGTCAACAAATTAAATACTAGATAGATTGGAGAAGAGTCATTTTCTATAAGTCACTAATTGAAACATTCATGATGTATGACTGACCTATTGCTGATTAAAGTAATTTAATTAATAAATGTGGATTGGCAATGTTATGGTCTATGAGAATTGACAAAGGCAGGAATGCAGAAAGTAATAACACATCGTGACATTATGGAATAATTGTAGTACAATATAAAATCTATTGGATATATAAGATGCAGATATTTAATCTCAGAAAAACTAAATGTTATGCATTGCTAGTGATCTATAATGAAATTCAACAAAAACTTGGATTCAGATTATCTATCTACGGTAAACATAGTTGAGTCAGAAAAATGGTGCGGTAACACAAGACAAGTTTATGTCAAATTATCAATTGTATGGGTGTGGTGGTCGGTATTCAATATAATCCTTAAACTTCGTATATAGTTCGCCCTGATAACCGTCAATAGATAATGTCCAAACGGTGTATTATTCAGAGGGCGAATACGAAGCGTTGATTACGTTTATCATTACACCACACACAGATATCCAAATTTACAGGTACACTAAACAAGCATGAGATAGTATTGCCAAAAAGCGAGCAGACAAGCGAGTGTGAGAGCGAGTCAGCGAGTTGAATGAGTAGGTTCAAATGTATGAATATATGCATAGACAGTAAGTAAGTAATACTCAAGCATACATGTTCATACAAGTGCAACAATAAGAAAGGTACAATGATATAGATGAATTGTTATCGTACGGATAACTGTCCGTTAAATAAGTTAACAAGAAGTCTTGACCAAATTATTTGTGAACAAACTTGATTACAAGTGAGCTGCTATATTGAAAATAGAATGATTTTATGATGCAAAAGTTTTGATGTTAGACATTTTCTATTGTTCAATACACTATATCTGTATAGGACACAAGTATTAAGCTCTTTTTAATATGTATTGAAGGGAAAAAGATGCGGACTCACTTATAGGATAAATAAAGAATTATCAACCTTCTCTATATAAAATTCTCAAGTAATTTGATTCTCGATATCTATGACAAAACTGTTACCTATAGTTTTAAAGCAATTTATAGAACACATTGAAGTCACAAATCGATTGCGTACATATAGACAGATTGAGTTATAATTTTGTGAAGACAACAGTTTACTCGCTATGTTTAATATACATGAAAGTAAAACCATAAAATACATTGGTTTTTTCGAACCTGATGGAATAAACATGTTACTGGAAATCAAAAAGCTGGCTCCGACCATATGAATAAATACAAAAGAATTCAATATTACAGTTATTCAACCTTAACCAAGAAGTTACCACTTTTATTATCATTAGTATGAGCCACCGAGTTGAATGATTTCAAGAACAATCTACCGTTATTTATCTTTTATATGATATATGAGCTGATAACACGTAATATTGTATAGATTTATAAATGATGGCTGAAATTTGAAGGACTCGAATTAGTGGCCTTTAAGTAACATACCTGACTCTTTACCTATTATATTTCAATAATTAACCAGATCTCAGTTTGTTTGGATTATTCATCCGTTTCAGATACATTTCTCTTAATTTATAATTCAACAAATAACACCAATATATTAATTTCACAAAACAATCTTTTCATCTCTATCTTAATTAAGATAAGATACAATGAGAGAGTGATTAATCATCAAAGTGACTATCACAAATAGTCTTGGTTGATAACAGTATACTCTGAAGAAAACATTAATCTCTTTAAGAAATTCATATTTAATCTCAAAAAATGTATTCTAGTTTATGATTTAATACAATTTCAACAACTATTTTCGAGGACGGATAAAGTAGAAGAGAATGGACATTTAATTGTATATATGAGCTGGGATAAACATTGATGTATCTACCCAGTAACTTAAATGATGAAAGATATCTACATAGAAGAATTAATGTTAATGCTGTCATACAAAAATAAACGAAACTATTAACTGCATCAACCACTTCATTAGTCCTGTTTAAACTAAACATGATTCTGGTAGATCCTTGAAAAAGCATTTCATAATTAACAATGAACATAATAACAAAAAAGCTCAATGACCTTTTAAAAATAACTTACCAGAAAAAGAAAAGCACAGTTATTAATTTCGTTTTTTTTTAAGTTAATACTAAGGGGAAAAATATTGAACAACAAAATCATAGCACTATTATTACTTTTATTACTGTTATGTCAAACACCATTAATATTGGTTTTTGACAGATTTACTGATGAAGGCATATCTTTATTACGGTGAGGAATTCATTTGGATTTTTTCGATCTCTGTTTTATAATATTTATTTACTGATTACGTCATCATTTGTATGATTATGATTATTTTGACTTATTGTATTCAGTGAATCTGATTCGTCAAAAACATTTACAGATGACTGAATTGGATCTGATTCGGTATTATAATTCAATGACTTATCATCCTTGAAACATGGTATATTTACATTTTGGAATAAGTTAGATGAAGAAGAGAGATTTTCAATAGTCATAAATGAATCGGATGAATGTTGAAGTAAAGATGGTCGTCGTTGTTCTACCACTATTGTTGTTTTCTTTTCTTCCTTACTTCGTTTTTCTATTATTGCAAAATTCTCATTATTATTAATATTATTATTATTATTGATAAATTTACCATCTTTATTTATTGTTTGATTACCCAATATACATTCAGTGAATATCTCATTAATAGGATTGGTAGAGATTATTGCGCAGTTTAAATTACCCAAAACCTCGACATTACTATCACTATCAAGTTGTTCGATCGTTGTATTTAACGAATTATCTGACTGGAGATCAGCATTACTATTATTATCAGGACCACACTCATTATTATCACATTCATAACTTCGTATCACTGATATATCCGATGTACAATCTGTTGTGTCCAATGACATCTCACTATTCATTATATTACAATTAGTTAGTGAATTGTCATTACACTGTATCACTGAGCTGTTATTCATTAATTCAGATTGTCCCAACGAATTCTCGTCATTGATAACATCAGTTGGTGTGATTGTATCACAATTAATATTCGAGACATTATTATTATTATTATCAACTAATTCTGTTTCTAAACGATTTCTTCTAAGATTTGAATCGATGCTTTCAATGAGAGATTTAATTAAATCTTTATCTTTCTATAAACAGCACAAAGAATAAATAAATAAATAAAATTAATACTGCAACGATATGCGAAGATTGCTGAATCTCATAGTTCACATCATTAAAATGACAGTTAGAAAACCATTGAAAACTAGGAAGCATTAGACAGTTGTTTCATCTTTAACAGCAGTGTGGATCCACGACTCTACATGGAATCGAGCTAAGGAACCCCAGGTCCTATGAGGACTACTTAACCTTCATAAAGATTAGTACTGATTAATAAAAATGATGGTAATCACAAACAATAGGAAGTGGAACTTGTCTTTCATTTTCCACAGTAAATATGTGAAAAATTTAAATGATATTTATTTGTCAAGAATAATGTTTGGCACTAGATACAACCTAACCAGTTACCTTAGTAAATAGTTGTACATTCATTCAGATAACATTAATTTTACATACTTTCTCAAAAGGTATGGGTTATTTCAAGGTTTTAAGTTGATCAATGAAGAATTAATTTGGTACATAAATAACCTTCAAATTTAACTCGGATAAAACTTGTGACTAGAGAAACTCACCTAAGATACACATCAAAAAATCACCACCAATCTCATTCGACAAGTGTCGCATAATTCAGTGAATCCTAAATCAATATTTAAGTAGGTAGTACTTCGGTTAGAGATCTTAATAGATCCAAGGTTCTATTATCGGTGAGATTGTAGATGTGCAGTGCTCAGGAGTTTCATAGTGGTATAAAACAGCTGTCTAGTGCCCCCTGATTTTCGATGGTGTCCAAACTGATGTCAATCCGTAACAAATAGAGTGTTATAAAATTCATATTATATCAGGAAATGCGTAAACAAATGAAGAACATTAGTTTTGTGTAAAGAATCGATCTGTTCAGTGTCAATCAGACAGATGTCATATGATTTCAATTAATGATGAATGACCAACTATGACTCAGTGTAGGTAGGATAAAATCATATCTATATCAACATCTCGAGTAGTCTATAAGCGGATAACATATTGGACTTTAAAGATAAAGTGATAATAAAACATAATACAGAAAAATACTTTTAAAATCATTAGTTCATTTAATAATCAAGCTTATTTAAAAAGCCATTGATTAGAAGTTTTAGTTCCAGCTCACACTTTCTTCACCTTTACAAACTAAAGACAGATGGGCATCACCAAGAGTGAATGGACCTGTTCCAGTGTGAACGCGTCCCAGTCATTCCACTCAAATCCTTCAATCACTGACCACAATTACCTCGTGGACTCTAAAGAAGTAGTCTGCATCTATCAACATGGTTCAGACCAGTAGTCAAAGACTTCATGGACTGATGCTTTGTATTGACTTGGCCGCACCTAGCTATCTTCTTATCTACTTCTGCACTATCAACCATCACACGTCTAGGTGGACGGTGATAAAGTATACATAACACATGTACTAATCACTTCAAGTCGATGAAGATTCACTGTCTAATCAACCAATTTGCTACATTTACCGAGTACCCTTAGGAAAACCTCAACATTACACATTCCATCGTTCCAATAAATGTCAACAATGACTCTACGAAAATTGTGATCAAACACCTCCAGCTTACGCATGTCTTCTATTTTCATAGACCACGATTCAGAGCCGAATGTTGGACAATAAACACACTCTCCACTTGGCAGACGGTGTTCATACTTACTACACAGCTGAAAAAAGTTGGTAAACGCCAACAACTCCTTACACACTAAAGAAGACACTTCGATTGGATAATCAAGAATCAATATTATTTCAACTACACAGAAACTATCTCCATAAATAAGCATGAAGTACATGACGAGTTTTATTGGTTAACAAGCTGAATAGATGATGTATAGACCAATAACAAAACCTATTCGTATGAGGTATCGACCTCCAAAACGAAACAGAATCTGGCATTCAAACTACAGAATAATGTCACGTTTACCAGTGGAGTTTGATCATGTTAAGAGTGAGATATCGTCAATAGCATTGGATTAAGGTCATGCTCTGTATCGTGAATTAGCTGAAATTAGAAATGTGAATCAGTGTGTACCAATTATGTAGTTCAGATCTGACATGCATATATATGCATCAGTCCACGTTGTCATACCTCATTAGCATAACAAGATGAACACCTAATTCATAGAAGCGATTGCGCCAACGCTAGTAATATTTAAAGAAAGACTGCATATAAGGATATAATACAGGGAGAAAGAATTAGTTCGTAAAAAGAAAGGTACAAAGTAATTTAAATCTCACGGTTTAAGGAAAGATAAACAGTGTATTCTCCTACGTCATTGTGATCCATTCTGAGTCATATCACCCAGTCTCCAACCATTGGTTACGATAGGTGAGTGGACCCCAACCGAGTAGTTTGCATCTATCAACATGGCTCAGACTTTATGGATTAATGTCACGCCTTGGTTTCACTGCCAGTAACTCTCTTCCAACCGTATCCAACACTAGTCAACGTTGCGTGCCGTGGTAATCAGTGTTCAGGCATACGTAACACGTGGCCCAACCATCTCAGTCGATGTAGAAAGACAACTTCATCAACTGATTTACCATCATTCCGTAATACCCTACGTCTGACCTCACTATTACTTACCCGGTGATCCCAGCAGATGCGAGCAATATTCCTAAGACATCTGTGATCAAATACTAGTAACTGACGAGTATACATAAATCTACAGTCTCATTATGAGAAACAGTAACTCCATTGAAAGTGACATTATTTAAGGTACCTGAGATATTAAAAATTTAAAGTATTCTGAGACGTTAAAGCCCAAAGAGAATCTCCTACAATAATTGCATACGTTGATTAAAACTTGGCAGATTATACTCTGTAAGATGATCCTCATATAACTCAATATACCAAACCAAGAAATTCAAACACACTGCATTAATTCTTAAAGAGACAAATATATCTATGTACTACATCGACACCACCTCAAGATAAAGTGATAAAGCAATGCAACACAATCCGTTATCCGACCGTTGTTCAAAATAATATAAACCAGTGGTAAAAAACTTCTAAAACAAACGTATGTATGTAAAACAAGAAAGATTGGTTAGCTGAACAGTTCACTTCTCGGAGAATTCATTTTCAAAGTTGTACAAGCATAAATATATACTTATTTTTCGAAATGGTAATATTTATAATAATAGTGATAGTAAAATTTAGCTAAACATGATAGCAGTGAGGTAAAACAAATCGAGTTCAATAACTAAACATCTTGTGAACACACATGTTATTTGATGAAAACGGACTCTGCTTTCAAATTCATCTACAAGGTAATTAGAGAGCTGTCAAAAGCAATTATGTTTCATCTTCTTAGCATTATCGAAGCACTAGCTATATATCTAGAAGAACCACAATTTTGTGTACTAAAGAAACTTGTACAACCTCCTCTTCTACCACAGTCTTAATCTCTCGTAACTTTTCTTATTCCTCCTTTTCTTTGTTCACAGTAATCTGCATTCCTTCTATCTTCATCGTTATAGACCATTTAGTCTCAGATGATTTGTTTTTGTTCCCACTATTCACCCGACTACAGTCCATCTCAACTTCAACACCATATCACTCTGAGCCTTCTCTTTTCAATTATAATTTGTTATCTATCTGAATTTGCCGAAAAGAGGACTGTTGGCTGAACCAATCTCTTTTATCTTATGTCTCAACGAGTATATTCCATTATATATATATATATCATTAAATTGAACCTACATCAGATAGATCCAGCTGAGAATTCGCCCAACGATGTGCATCTGAAACCAGACTTGTTAATGTTTTATTAATGAATAAAGTTTTTGATAAAGCCATTATAGAGGCTATATCTAAATTATTGTTGCGTATATCCAAATACTTTAGACACTTTGATTCACTGAGAAAACTGGATAAAGCGAAAATTCCTAGTGTTTTTATTAAAGTAAAAAGGCGAAAATTGAATAAGCATACGATAGAGTGTACTTTGCATATCAAAAGTATCAAGAAAACAGTTTAATAGTCTGTAGAAAAACCTCTCGAATAATCTATTTGATTGATACTTACATCCAAGTGACTAATAAACTACTCACTATTTGAACAAAATAATGACGCTGAATTGTAATTGTTAAATAAGTGATTCCATCAGAGAAACGCATTCACCCATTAAAATAAACTACACTTGCAACAGACAACAATCAATTATGTATCACAAAAATTTATTATTCGTAAGCACGATCATATCCAGTAATCAAGATGGGTATTAACACTGTAATTTAATGTTGTTCGACATTTCAGGACAGATTCCTTCGTGACAATCTGATGTCAACCAAACAATCGAATTTTTTTGATTTATATAGGAATCAACATTTATTGCCATAAATCATAAGTGAATTATTAGTGAATAACTTATCTAAACTATGCTAATTGGTACATTTATTTCATTAGTATCGTATGATCATTTTAATAAGTGACCTCTATATATAAAACATATGAAAATAATTAAGCTAAATGATGTTACATACATATGATATAAACTTTAATACAAAAGTAATTACACGAGGAAATCATAAAATGAAAACGTACGATTATGTAAACATCAATTTAACTGGTTCTCCACCCCGATAAAAAACAACCTACTTTCAATAACTCGTTTGTAGCTTTAGTATGACTGATGATGATTAGTTGTCTCGCTTTTCAAGAACGCACTGCTTTAGAGGTATCATGCTTACTGCGATCTATGCAGTTTCTACGGGCAAATTAACATTTTTACTAGTACCGTACAAACGTATACAGTAGAATGAAACACTGCCTCCCTTGTTTCCAGTGACTCCCGAGTTGTCGTGTTATATTTTTTATGAAAATTACTTTTAAAGTACTGAAATTAAAATTTGTGCACAATATATATGTGCTTTATAATTATCTTCATCGATAAACACTTAATCAACAGCCAAGGTTGTAGGGACTGTAGGATATATGCATAAAATTGTATTGGAAATTAGCAAACTATGTTGATTGAACGCTCTAAATTTATCTATGGATTATTAGCAGATTCTTTTTGGAATCTTGACACTATGTTTGCTATTTCTTGTGGGTAGAATTTAACTACAAATATGAACTGTTTATGAAGTGCAAACTTACGCAGTTTAGTTTGAGCTGTATACTTTAACTGCTTGAGTGTTGGTGATGCAGCACACCTCAGAAAATGGGAACCAGTATTTGGAAAATGAATATTTAAATTATTAAGTCACTGGTCTTTATAGTAAATATTACAATACAATACCAGTGAAGAACAAGAAATTGAACTAAAATTAAGTTTCTTTTCCACGAAATGCAATCATTCAGTTGATAAACAACAGTTTTAATAAGGTTTTATGGTATGTGATTTAAGAAATATCAACAATTAAATAAATCTTGGAGCTTTTGTAAACGACAAGTTATGCTCCACTACCTGGACAAAAAGTCAAAATATTCCTTGGATAAAACAGAACAACAAAAAGTGTAACTTTGTCGACTACAAGAACCTGTATACATGTACAGACCAAATCGTGACACTATAGATAATTGTTAAACTATCAATTGAATGACATTTGTCACTGTGCATCAACTTTCTTTACTATGAGAAGGCGTTTGATAGCGTGAATAGGAGAACCTTATGGAAAATTCTTCGACATCTTCGTGTACCTGATAAAATCCCCAACATCATCCGGGATTCATACGACCGATTACACTACAAAGTCGTGCATGGAGGACAGCTGACAGATGCATTCCAAACGAAGACTGGTGTCAGACAAGACTGCTTACTCTCACCCTTTCTCTTTCTTTTAATGGTTGATTGGATTTCGGAGACCACTAAATCTCAGGGAAAACGAGAAATACAATAGGCAGCTTGCATGCAGCTAGATAACTTCACAGGTGACCTAGCTCTTCTACTCCATACACACCAATAAATAAAGGTCAAGACACGCAGTGGAGATGAAACAGCTTCTGCAGTGGTGGGCCTCAACATACACAAAAGAGAAAGCAAGATCATGAAATACAACACGGAGAACACCAACCCAATCACATTTGATGGAGAAACTCTGGAAGAGGTGGACAGTCTCATGTACCTGGGTAGCATCATTGATGAACAAGGAGGATCAGACACAAACGTAAAGGCAAAGAACGGCAAAGCAAGGGCCGCATTCCTACAGTGGAAGAACATATGCAACCCAAAAACTGTAAACAAATATAAAAATCACAATCTTCAATACGAACGTCAAGACAGTTCCGATGTACGGAACTGAAACTTGGAGAACTAATACAACCATTTTCAAAAATGTACAGGTTTTTATAAACAACTGTCTATGCAAGATACTCAGTGTATGTTGATCGGATACCATCAACAACACCCTACTGTGGGAGAGAGCAAACCATCTTCCAGATGAAGAGTACATTAGGAAAAGACACCGTAGATGGATAGAACACACATTAAGGAAATCACCAGATTGCATCACGAAGCAAGAGCTAACTTGGAATCCTGAAGATAAAAACAGAGGAGGAGGGGGGAATTGGAAACCGTAAATTTCCGTTGTGACAAAAAATGTATGTATACGTCATCTGCTTATTTACCATGAAAATATACATTGAAAACAGAGTGTAATAAAGCAAAAAAGCATCAAAGAGACGCTCTATTTTGGCTCCAAGTTTTGCAAAATAGTGAATACTCAATACCGATCTAATATGCCGATCCACAAATTAGTTTCCATGATTACATTACGAACAGATATCAAATTAAACTGTAGAGTCATGGTTCAGTAGCTTAACTTCTAGGCTATTAACCCGGTGTTACACAGGTTCAATCTTCTCTTCCTTAACTTCAATTTGGACAACCACATAGAAAAGCCAACTCGCATACAGAAGTAGAAACAAGAACTTATAATTGGCTACTTCAGTTACAGTTGGTGATGAAAAAAATAACTTCACTACCAAATTTGAAATTTTACATATAGTTATGAATCAATAATTTATTCATTTAACATTCAATGTTCATTAGTAGGTAAGTACGAACTTCTGACTTTAGCGGTCAAGGAATGTGTATATCTTCGCACATAATACACAATATTATGTAAAACAATATCCAACTACACTGTTTATTAGTTACATTTAAAATTTAATTAAATGGGAAGATATTACAATTACAAGCGATAATACACACAATATTAACTAACCTGAAAAAGACATATTAATGGAACGAAGATATAATTCTTTTAAACTATAGTTTCTGATTAAACCTTCACACAATATTTCAACACCTTTATCGCCAATATTTACATTGTTACTTAAATCTAAGCTAATTAAACCGCCAACAAAAGAGATTAGTGATTTTGGTGTTTGCATTAATACAATAGCCAATGATTGCATACCATCTATGCTTAAATTATTGTCTGCAAGATAAAGACGTTCTAAGCTGCAAATTTTCATTGGTATTGATTGTGTACAACAGCGATTAGAATTTGAATCGGAGCTTTTTTCTGTTGATGGTGATGATGACATAGTGGTTAGTTTAAGAATTTCTTGATCATTCAACGTAGAGAAACGTTCACGTAAACGATTTCGATAAGATTGAAGCAGTCCAGTACACAATATACCTAAACCATCATCCTATGAACATTAAAATAATAAACATTAAGAAACTAATGATTGTTATTAAATTTTTATGTAAATAAAGCAATAAATTTAATTTATAAATTAAACGAATAATGACATTTCTAAAAAGAGGAATTTATTTCTAATCAACAATGTAATTAACATGTCAGAACTAGAAAAATAATTGTCTGTTATTGAGGAACATTTTTTCGACATATTAGAGATTACTTTATAGCATGTCACAGTAGAGCTTCAACGTTGAATTATTCAGTCCTCTATAGAGTTTATAAGAATAAACACAATCTACCGACAGATGGGAGCGTAAATCTTTTTTTTTCTTTTTTATAAAAAAATCGTTAACTATACACTATAGAAACCTAGATCGGTGTGTACAGAAACACTTTATACAATTGGTTTTGTTACTATGACTCCGATTTTTGATTTTTTTTTATATTCTTGAATTCTTTTGGACGGTTCCGTCTTTTTGTTCTCTTTCACAAAGAATCTTATCCCATGTAATTTATTCCATATGAACATTTACAATTCATTCAATTAGTATTAATCCTTTACTATCTTTAACATATTGTTTACCTTTCATATAAGATATCCAATCCTATTTAACAATAATCTTGCGGAACCTAACCATAAAGATCTCAGCGCCTAATATAGTACACAGTAACAGTCCTATATCTTCATTAAGATACCTTTGGTCTTTTTACAATCTACTCCTAGATTAACCAGTAAAGTTTTCCAAGATAAAGCCAAGTGTATATGTAAGATGTGTTTCAGAAACCTAGTTTGACGAAAGCATACACCTTCATATCTAATTAGAGTTTCACAATTAAGCTCTGCACTAAACACTTAGTGGTTTTCTCATACAATAGTAGCCCATAGAAGACGTTTAAGGTTAAGTATTAACATCCCATCTTATGTCTTCAAATGTCATAATTTACAGTCATAAAGTAATACAAAGTAGATTGTGAAATAATACCGCGCCGGAATTATCCGGGTTTTTTTAATTGTCATCACAGGCTTTCATGAGACGCTATATTTAGCGAGAAAAAGTATATCGTTTTAATCCTTAAGAATATTAGAGCCTTACATATAGAAGATGGACTCTTTAAAAAGAATTCAGATACGACAGTGAAAGCTGATTATGAGTTATTCAGTAATATACGAGCAATCTACATATCAGTGATTCCAGTCTAAACACTGTCTAAATTACTATACAGTATTACTCATTTTTCACTAAAATAAATCATAAAACAATGTTTGATAGATTTGGAGGCTAAGCTGAAAGGCTTACGTGTGGGTAGATTCGCAAATTTGAAGTAAAAATTCAAGTATACATCACATGTTTTCATATTGTTCCTCTGAGTCAAATGATTTAATATTTGAGCTTTTGGTATTTATTTACATTTAAAAAATATATACAAAAAACTCAAACAAAAGAAACTCGATAATGTGTACCTATTTAAGATACCTATACTTTGCAATACAACGATTTTACAAACAAGACCAATAATATACGGTATGATAATTTCGAATACACAACTAAAGGTTAAAACCTCTATTCTAGTATCGTCTAATTCACACTCAAAATCCATTAATATTTACTTTTAACACATTTTCTGCATATTTTATTGTTCTTGTCAATTTTTCTCCCATTAATCTATCTCAAAATGTAGCGAATCGAAATGATTTACCATTGTGTCAAATGAAACAACAGATACCGAAAATTATCAATCAACAAAAAACCCTCGAACTAACCAGTTAATATTCCCCCTTTTGAATGTATAAACAAAACAACAAGAGTACGGTCTTTTGGTACACTAAAAGAACAACTTACACCAATATTATTATGAGACAAATTCAACTCCAATAAATAACCAATCCCTCCAACTGGAAGAAAATCACACGATGATGACGACAATGAGTTGGATTTTTTCAGTTGTGTACATTTCGTATGTGAACCATTGTTTACAAGGGCAGTTGATGAGCTAATTTCATTATTATTATTATTATTATTATTATTATTATTATTATTATTATTATTATTATTATGACCTTCAAATTTAACAGTTTCAGGTCCCGAAATTCTTGGAATAAATAACTGATGACGAATTAGTGGTAGTATTGCTTCAACATCTGAAGAAGTCAATTTATTATTCATTAAACCTAATTTTAATTCCCAAATAGAAGGTTTAGTATCATTAATTGTGGTAGTGTTAGTATTAATAGTGTTTGTAGTACTTGTATTTGATAAATTTAATCCTGAAGTAGTATAAGAGTGTCTACGATGTCTCCAACCACGAAATTTATGTCCTCTACTTGAATTACATGGTCTGTCTCGTGTTGGTGGATATAAACTTGTTGAACTCAAAAGGATGTACAACCATTGCATAAGTCCATATAATGCTTGACCGGTTAAATTACAATCAATAAAATGTAAACGTTCCAAGCATAGACCATAGAAACTTAGACCATGAAAATTTTCTAAGCGTAATGGAGTATGACTCAATGTGAATCGACGTAGAGCAGATGACTATGAATAAAAATTAATATAAAACAAAGAAATGAACTTGGTACCCTCATAAATTTTTAAAAATTATACTTATAAATATATCTGCGGGTAATTTAGAATACAAGTTAGAAAAACAATTAAAATACTGATTGAAAACAATATTACGAATTTCAATATACATAGTTCCCTTTATCATCGTGAAGAGTTTAAGAACAAAGATTTGAGCAGAATAACATGAATTCAATGTATTTCATTGGGTTCTCGTCAGTTGCTTAAAACCTGTATTATCTACAAATCATAATTACAAAATGAGGTCAAATCACTTAAATGACGGAGTTTATTTAGAGGTTGATAGGATCAAATATCAGTATAGTATAGCAAGGGAGTCAATAAATTTCATAGACTAAATAAAATATTGTAAACGTTTACCCAGTGTAAAAGAACATTCTACAACATTGATAGTAACAAAAGTCAAAAGTTTTAGAAACAAGTAGGTACGTAATGAATGAACGCTGACAATAAGTAAGAATATAAGTAATTGGAACCTATTTTGTAATTACTATTTTCAAATAATACATGTTGTAAGCAACTAACGAGAACCAAACGAAATAAAATGAATTAAAGTTATTCTGCTCAAATTTTTGTTCTTGCTGTCCCAAAGATAATACGAACTGTAAGGTGGTTGGAGGTAATGAAAATAAAATATAATGCACACGATGTTGGATTACCTATACTAGTGACCATATTGGAATTTGATTAGGACTAAATCATTAGGACAAATATGAAATCCGTCATTACAACTCAGTAACTAACTAATTAGAATAAGAACTTGATCAATATCTCACCAACAAAGATAATTCAGAATTGAAACTATTCACAAAATGTCGATTGAAGTAAGAAAAATAACACAATGATACTAAACAGTGTCAAGTTTAATATGGTGAGAAATATTAACTTTCCTCATTTGCAGTGAAACAACGTCAGGAAACGAAGTGATATGATCTACGATTGTGGGGCGTCCGAATGTGTGTCTGTGTTCTAGAACCTGACGTATTGTCAATATCTGGTCTATACAACCACGTCCAGGTTGAAAACCAGCCTGATTTTCTCTAGTCTGTTCTTCACGAGCTTTAGTTAGGCGCCGAAGTATTATTGAAGCTAATATTTTGCCGGAGCAGCAGGCCAGTTGAACTGCCCTTCGAAAAATTCTGCCCATCGTCCAAGACGTCGATGGATGTTAGTGATTGGCATCCCATCATCCTCGCAGATTGTTTCACTCACACCAGACTTCTTGCTGCCAGTGGCTCGGATGAGCTGGAAGAGCTTCCGGTAGTTACCAGATGCAGCTGCTGTTTCCAGCTCATTAGCACGCATCGACCACCAAGCTTCTCGGTCCTTACGCAAGCTTTGCCCAATTGCATTACGTAATATCCTTCGTTTATGGTCAAACTCACGGTCACCCGGAGTAGACCTACGGGCTTCAATGAGTTGTAAGGAACCAGAAGAAACCCAGTGCTTAAAGGCGGGACGTTTCGCAAACCCACAACTGACTGTTCCCGCCATTTTCATGGCGTCATGCAATTGCAACCAATGCTCATCTATACTTTTCGGTGGAGTGGTAGCTAGCCTAGAGGCTAGCTCGGTTCGATACTTACTTGCAACCGAAGTTGCAACCAGCTTGCTAACATCAATCTTTTGGTGGTGGTCACTTCGTTGTCCACTGAAAAGTAAGGCAAGATTTGCGCAGACCAAGGCATGGTCAGAGTCCAGATAGGTGTTGAAGTATTATTGAAGCTAATATTTTAGACACTATATTTGTCAAACTGATTCCTCTGTGATTGTCACAAGAGGACTTTTGTCCTTTCTTATAGACTGGCACAATCAGTGATTGAGACCAGTCAGATGGGATTACGTCCAGTTCCCAAATTCTACCTAAGACCTCAGTTAATCTCACTGCTAATACTGAACCATCATCCTTAAAAATCTCAGGAGTAAACCTGTCAGGGCCTGCTGCTCTCCCTCGATTCAGATTTCCTATGGCTTTTTCAACTTCGTAAAGAGACGGAGGATCTACATTAACTTGCCATTCAGGTTGACTGGAGATCGTGGGAGACCGAAGTGTGGCTGAAGGCCAGTTGAACTAATCCCTAAAGTGCTCTGCCAGTCATTTTGTGGGAAGTTTTTATCGTGTTAGATTCGTTCTTCAAAGGGCCTTACCGCCGGAGACGGAAATCCGTGAGGTAAGATGAGGTGTGACAAGTGTGAAAACGACGAACACTTAACCTGTAAAACATATTTACTAATGTTTAATAATATATTCAACATTGTGTTGCTTTACCTGTATGTGTATGTATTTCATTTAACGTTTTCTTTATTGTCGAGATGTGATTCAACTGGAGAACGATGTATTGAGGTGGTTATGTATTGGTAAAATATTTTAATGATATAGGGATAACTAACAAACTATATTAAATTATACACTGTAAATTAAAAAGTTATTAATTAAAGAAATATCATTTAATTTATCATGCTGTGCAAGAATAGAACACTTAAGCGTAAAATTATAGTAAAATTCCACGAAAGCTAATTAGATGAAAATGAACAAGTTAATCATCATCAATTTTTAATCTGTTAAAAAATATAATTCAGTCCACTGAACACTCATTTTGATATAAAACTGTAGTGAAGATACTCTCAAGCTTTCACTCGGTTACCTTTTGGTTGTACTACAAACAATAAATAATGTAGAAAAATGAAATCACAATGAACGAATTAAAGAGAAAAATTAATCTTTTCACACAGTTAATGGGGCACGTACCTTTCGCATGAAATTAACACAACGACTCCAAGCTTGACTAGGAAGCGTTTTGTTTAAATTTAAACTTATACTTAGATCTGTACAACTTTCATAATGCAGTAACATATCAAACAGTGACGAAGCAGACTAGAATGAAAATAATAGATGAAAAAAATAAATAGGACAACAAAAAATATGAACAAGTAAAAATAAAGAGAATTCAACGAAGAAAATTTTCTCTTGGACGAAATCATTTGCTTAGGCTGTACATTCGTATTTGCAGTTGTTTAGTAGTAAATATATTGCGGTGTGTGCTACTTATATTGATATAAGTAATATATGACGTTACTCGTGAATAGAATGTCTGGCAGCAGAGAGACAAGAGGATCGAACAGTAAAGAATGGAAACAGGATGCAATTTGTATGAAAATGCAAGAACAATGAAGTCTGAGTCGTTTTGGGACAATTGATGGACATTTTGCAAATTAAGCATCTACTTTGTGATTGTTAGATTTTATTAACAAGTCCTGTAATTTTGTGTTAAATGCATTCGATTGTGACGCAGTTAGGTGCTTTCCTCGATGTGTGTCCTACTCACTTCCAGCGCTTCTTCCTGATTTCTTCCTCCATTGTGATGTGGTTTGTTCTCTCCCACAGTAGGTGGTTGATGATAGTGTCTGGCCAACTGATCCGAAGTATTTTGCGTAGACAACTGTTAATAAACATTTGTATCTTTTAGATGATAAATTTCATAGTTCTCCAAGTTTCCGCACCATACAGTAGAACTGTCGTGACATTTGTATTGAAAATTCTGACTTCGGCGTTGGTTGAAAGTTGTTTTGTAAACCAACGCCAAAGTCAGAATTTATATTCACCATACAACTATAAATACGAACGTACATCTTAAATAAATGACTTCAGACACTGACAGATGCGCACAACTTATAGAACACGCACGAATATTACTATACACAGGTTGAAACAAGTTATAGAAATAATTTAAATCAAAGAGGCATAGAAAAAAACATATATATAAAATAAATGGTAATATCCTCTTTTATGATTTTAAATCAGTGTTTACCAATAATTTTGTCGAAGATTAATTGGATGATTTTCTAGCAGTCCAGAGTATGCTGTGTTCATCCAAGGATAATTAGGTCATTTTTAAGAACAATTATGTGGACGATAAACACATGGATTTACCAGTCGTAAATCACAAGCCCTTAAGGAACTTAGTTACATGATACAACGTTTTTTAGGAATAAAACGTTTATTAACTGATAATTTGACTGGTAAAAAGAGATTTTATATTGGTAAACGGTGATATATTGAAAAAGCAGCAATTCGCTTTTAACAAGTCACGAGTTCGAACCCCACTTTAATTCCACTTGGACATATCGATCATGTCATCACATAAACAATAAGACTTAGTCTGAGTAAATAAACCTAGGCTTAATAAATAGGTTCCATTATTTCTTCTTAACAAGTAAATTATTCGGTTTAGAAAACTTTATTTGTAGGTGATTGAATCCTACAAAAGTTAGAACAGTACATCATTTATCATTAAATAACCACTACGCATATTGCTGAGATGCGTCCTAATAAGTATTGTGATACTGAAGAATTTCCAGAACTGTTCATGAATCGTTCACAGACTCATAGTGTCGACCAGGAACGGCTATAAGATTAATTCTATAATTATTATATTATATATATTTACAACACTTTGTGTTTTCAATCTCATTACTCTGTCATGATGATACACATCTGATTTTACTGTTATAAGCACTTGGACTTTACGATAATTTTGATTTTTAAGTATTATGGGCTGTAAGCAGCTGATGACAACCTAACGAAATAAAATGAATTCATGTTATTCTGCTCAATTCTTTGTTCTCGCTCTCTTTCATTCTATGATAGACGGAATTAAAAAAGTTACTTATGGCTCGGTTAGAGAAGGAAAATGAATGGAAAAAAACTGAGCTAAAAACAGCAAGAAAAATCTTGTCAACAAATATTCAACAAGGAAACAAGCTGCGAAATCGAATCAGTTTCACCATGAGTTAGTAGCTATCCTGGTATATTATAATGAACATTTCGAAGTTTCCGAAGAGAGAAATTATAAAATTCGAGGGCAACTCTGCAAAGTGCTGGAATTTTATGAGGAGTTTCGAAGAGTGTGACGCTAACGAGAGTATCGTATTTGGAAAGTTAAATTACGTTACTCAGTGTTGTGAGGAAGCTAAGGCAGTCATAATACACTGGGCCCTACTAGAGTCGGAAGTTGGCTGCTGTAAAGCCTTCGAAACACTAGCCGAAGAATTTGATCTGAAACATATCTTAGCTCGGACGCTTATTGATAAGTTACTAAACTTTCCCAATACTGGAGATACGTTTCCCGACACCTTGAAGAGGTTATCTCGACAGATGTTGCTTTGCAAGTTAACTCAAAATCAGATGAACTACACTTCAAATTTGAATTCGTTGAGGACCACAAAAGTCCCAATCTCTGACTGTAAAAGGGCTAGTTTAACCTAATGCATATTCATAGGAATCTGTTTCGTTAACCATTATTTCGATATTTTGATAAAACGTATTGCACGCACACATATACATTCTCCAACATATCTTTTATTTTACATGTTTTAATTGGCAAAACACTAAAATATTTTATTAATACATCACATCACTCTATTTCTCTACTAATCAATAGATTGATGATTTAAATGGTACTGCGTTTATGAATTATTGTATATACTGAATAGAGCATTACACAAAATTCTTAAGAAAACCAGCTTTAGCATGTAATATATATCTATATATATATATTAATATAACTAGCTAACGATATGAAGTCACCTGTTCGTCTAAAAATGTATTTTCTAGATCAATTACTCTGAAATGTGCACGCTGAAATATTGCCTCCATTGATTCAATATGAAATCGATTCAATCGAATACCTAGAATAGAAGCAAAACAAAACTACAATTCAATTAAATAGATAAATAGAATATTTCGATTAATGGGAACAAATACCCTTTTCAAGTTGTTCTTTAATACATTTTTACACTTTTATACTCTAGCATATCTTCTTGTTCTTTGGAAAGATGCGGAGGAAAGTGTGCCAGTATAACAGTATGATCAGCGACTGATATGTGTGCTCTAAGAGAAGTGTTAGTTTTCGATTGATTCTCTTCCGAAATGAATGATGGTAATATAATCTACTGAGTTTCAATATTATCTAAAAGAATGAACTTAGGCTGAATCTATATTTGTTCAAGTGAATGCACTTTACAACACCAAAGGGAAAGCAAATTAACAAAGCTGATAACAAAAATGTCAAAATGATATAATCAGTGGAAGTGGCACTATTGCTTGCAGCCACTTTAATTCAACATAATAAACTTATTTATCTAACGAAAATAAATTAGATGGTCAAAGGTGACCAGTAGATATCATTTTTATAACTTCATTACAGTAGTTCTTTTATTACATCTGACAATTATTTCTTGGTTGTAAGAAAAATATCACTTCATACTATCACACAATTACGTATGCAATATAACTTGGGTGTAATCCATATTACAGATGTCTGCGTTAATATAATGTATATGAAGTGTATTATGAAGTGTGTTAGAGACCCTGAATGACATGGCTCAAAATCGTTTGCAATGGCGCAGGTGCATCCACTCTCTGTGTTCTCCCAAACTCTAATCTTCTGAATTCTTCATGTCCCTTTTTTCCTCTTTCCAAATTTCTTTCACTGGATTATACTCTTTAAATAACATCTCCAAACCCTAATCTTCCCGATTACTGCTTATACTCTTATTACCTCTACCACTACCGGATTTGAATCGACAAGTGCATCTCTGTGCTAATGTGGTGTGGCAACTCGAACTGATGTACGTACGTACGAAGTTCTACGTTGTTACTGACTGACTGACTGATATGAAGTGTATCTACATTAGCAGCACATAAATACATTCTGATTCATGCAAAAAAAATCTTAATGGTAAGCCTTACTTATTTCTTCATCAATGTTGAGTGTTTAAAAAAAGAAAACGTTTTGCAGCTACCTATCAATATATGTATAGATAAACATGTACACTTTTTTGAGATCAGTGTGATACATCAGGAGATACATAGAAAAAAAGAATTCTGGAACTAATCAAATATAAAATTGGTTTATGGTTCATGTATGGAGACAATTCAAACGAAAAAGTTACGAAAATATGATAATGGAATAGTCTGAGCAAAGAACTAGTGGATAACACTGATGACATATTCACAAATCAATTAAGGGTCAAATAATACGTAGTTTAGTAGTGAGAATATAATTTCAAAAGAACAGAAAGTGAAGAGCATGTATACATTGATCTAGACAAAGCACAGCATAATTGAAAGTGCTTACTGATTAATGGAATACTGGAATGCAAGACAATAGGAAAAGAAATGTGATTCAGTTAGAAAAAATACGATATGTACGTTAACAGAGATTGCCAATCTCTAGTGGATAACGTGGAAGTTACATGCTACGAAGAGAAAGTTATGGTCTGTCAAAACATGTTTCGTTCGCTAAAGATAAAGTGCAGAGAAAGACAAAAATATGGTAATAATCGTGAAGTATATTTTAGTGACCGTTTATCTTGACGCCAATTAGATCGTACGAATAATCCGTATCGAAATATATATCTCGGCTACCCTTGTATATGATCATCGACTTAAATTGCGTTAGTGAATAACGGAATAAAATAAGTCAAATACGAGAATGGACTTTGAATACGTATATTTCATACAGTCGTTGATCCAGACAGATGATCAGAGAAACGATGCGAAACGAAATAACGCGCCATGGAGAAGGCGAGTGAGCCAACTCGATTTAATCAAGCGTGACTCGATATTTGTAGTCAAACAAAAATAAGTTACAGACACATAATGAATAAGGTAAATAATTAACATATATGTGATCGTATAAAAACGGTCAGAGTTAATAAGCGAATGATTGACAGAGTCGAAATGTGGCTTGAGATAAATGAATAGACTGATCTGTCAAGAGGCTAGAATAACCTATGTGGGCTTGACATAGTACGAGCGACTATAATACATTAAATAGAGTTCCAACAATTACATTGAATGACGTGAAATAAGAATATTGAGAGGAAACTAGAAAAAAATAACGTAAATGATGAAAATATAAAAATACTAAGTGGAGAAAAGGAAGAGATGACAGATTTCATTTGTCTTGGATGTATGCTATTTTTCGAAGAATAACAGAAAAGTACAAAAGACTCGCCATCGGTTTCTATTATGACTTCCGTCGAACAACAGTTCAAGCCACTGAATAGCAATATTGTTAAAACTGTATTTGGGAAGTTTCTATATGCCAACGTAACCTAACAAAATTATACTACCAACCATCCTCTTGTGACATAAACTAATTGTATTTTTTTATCTTCATTCTATTACGCCACATCAGCAAGCTATTCTAATAAACCTTGAATATCTCATTACTAAACATCTATTCGTTTATTCATTTTCGCATTTGCTCGCATGTATTTTTGCTCGTTATTCTTTACCTGTACTAATATTAAACGTACTAAACTGAACTAGTCTACTTGTATGTGCAATTCAATATTATTACAATGGAGGAAACCTAAAGGGGGTTGGAGTACATGACGTCATAAATTAACGATCTGAGATGTGTTTGAAGAACCATACACATCGAGGTTGGGTCGGGCTTAATCTTGATAATAATAACATACTCATACTCATTTATTTATCTCTGTTGACTTTTCGTAACTATATTTGTTTTGAAAAGTAACCATCTTGATTAGATGCATTCTTGTATTAGGCTTTACATGTTTCCAATTAATGAATCAATTATTTCGTTAGCCCGTTAAATATAAGAATTAAATGAAATGATCCCCACCTTCAGTCTAATCTTGTATACCTATGTACCTAATCAACTCGGAAACTATATACATACACCAATAGAGATATAAAACTGGTCACCAATCTGATGAAAAGAACTGCAAGTGACCTTTATTTCCACAAACTAATGAGACACACCTAAACGGATAACGTGAATTACGTGTGTATACAGCGATATGCATAACGGTATACATATTACTTTCAAATAGAATAAATAAACAATTATAAATATAAAAACGTACCTCTTAGGCTTAGACGACTGTAACGTTCATTACAAATCGATAAATCGATTCCCTATGAAACAATAAAACAATTACTGTAACAGAAATTATTTATATATATGAAAAGCCAATCCCTATGCGTTTGCATATCTTATTACATAATGGATTGGCCTGTTCACACTGTGTATAATTGATTTGCGCGGTCACTGATTGCATATATATATATATATATATATATATATATATATATAAACCAAAACTTCTAGCTAGCTACAATCTAAGACGCTTTTATTGAAAACGCTGGATAGCCAACCCGCATTTCATTGTAAAGTGGTTCGACTAGAAGTTTCCTCTTTATATTCGTCTTCATCACTTAGAATCCCAAAGGTATGTACAGGCGAGATATTACCTATGTTATGTAGGACGTTACCAATGATATCTCAGATGGCATCGTGGTCTCACACTAGCACAACGTGACCCTCCCATGAGTTAGCAACGAAGACGTCAAAACACCGATGGGGTGTAATTTGCCTGAGGTGCATGAAATAAAAGAGAAGAGAGTGGGAAAATCTGACGAGCCATACGCTATAAAAACTCCTTTAGGGTGGACGTTATTTGGACCTTACAATGAGACCACGAGATAAATAGGTATCATAAATTATCTATCGTCTAAAGATGAACTAGAAGCAAGATTAGACCAGTTATATAAGATGGGCTTTGAAGAAGACCCAAATCACCGTGTGCTCATGTCGGTTGAAGATTGTAAAGCCTTGGATGCTATGTTCAAATCTATACAGTTAGTGAACGGGCATTACCAAATAGCTTTACCCTGGCGTCATCAACAAAGCCTACCTAATAATAGAAAACTAGCAATAAGTAGATTAAATTCCTTGAGAAACCGGCTCATCCGTGGCCAGAGGTTGCATAAAGAATATTTTAATGTGATGGCACAGTATGTTCAACAAGGTTACGCCGAGAATACTATAGAGAACTCCATTAGGTGTCGGGTTTGGTATTTACTGCACCACTCTGTCTTCCGTTCGAAAAAATCTAATAAGCTAAGAATCGTATTCAACTATGCAGCACAATACACCGAGACGTCCCTGAATAAAAACGTGTATTCTGGTTCAGATTTAGTTAACAATCTGGAAGATGTTTTCATCAGATCTCGGTGTGACCAGTAGGTCTCACGGCAGATATTGAAGCTATGTTTCATCAAGCGATTGTCCCGTCATAGGATCGCGATTAAGTCTATATTCTGGACAGGCGAGGTTATGCGAGACGTTATTATTTTGAGGACCAATAAAGATTCAGAGTTGACACAGGGTTGCTAGTATTGGTTGACGTGTCATTGGTTTGGCGCAGGAACTAGGTCATATAAGCCAGTGTTCTAATTGGAGATTTTGTCACGCGATAAGTGGTAGATGCATGTCATAACAATTATATACCCAAATTAATAATCCAAAAAAATATCCAGGTGTAATGCAAATTACATCAGTTTTCTGGAGATTTGCATTTTCGGGCTCGTGAGCACCTCCTGGTATGGTTAAGCAAAGGTATAGTTGAAACTACTAACAACTCGATTTTAGCTAATTTAGTACAGCCAACATGGAGCAATCCTTCACAATAATATACCGTGTTAACAGCAATCTATCTAAATCCGTCAGACTAGGAATCCTTCAGACGGCTGAAGCAATAGCTATTTGGATCAAAAAGCCGGAGCTTTGAGTCTAGAAGAAATATGTTCAACTGCTCGTGTTGCCTTGGTCAACTTCTGGGTTAATTAGTTGTGATATGGTGACGTAGTTTGGTCAGTAGTCATTTTAATAGCTTAAACTTATATTATCCTTACATATTATTATTATTATTTTAACATCTGCCAACGTGTATAAGAAACCTATTCAGCATTCGCTCTTATTTATCGATTCGTATCCAATCCATATTATCCTACATATTACGTGATTTCTGATTAGTAATTACATTATTATCTCTAGCACTCCATGTTAGTTATATTTATTTTGATCATTTATCCCACAACTTAACACTTTATATTAGTCATCCCAACATTAACGATTTTATTTCATTTTATATTAAAAATGATCCTAAATACACATGCTATAATTCTAAATAATATACTTTGCCTTGAATCAGTTTCTGCTAGTATAATGTTTAAACTAATATCTTTAACAAGTTCGGTATAGCATAAAATTATAGGCAGAACACCATTCATGAATAACCACAGAAAAAAAACAAGTCGATTTCACTCCAATTTTATACTAAATTAACCCCAAATGCCCTGGTACGATAGACGATGGAGAGAGTCCGCTTTCCCTCTCACATGGCAACGCGTATATAGCCACTGTCACGGAAGTCCCACTCACTGCTTTCTCGCGGAATGTGTTGTTTACGAAATTTGGAGGGCGAAAAGCGAATGTCAGGCGCTTTAACCGGACTGATGGATATGGAGGATCCATCTAGGGGAATTAGAAAACCCTGACTACAAACCAATGATGGACATAGTTTCCAGGGTTTTGAGGGAACAAACAGCGCATAAACCTGTTTTTGATCACCGGCTACCATGGGACTGCATCTCCCAACGTTGCTCCACTCCTGGTGAACTACACCTCTGGGTCAAAGGCTCAGGAAGTGGTCTCCTAAGAAAACCATCTGCCCCAGTTTTGGCGCCCAGACAGTATCCCATCCCTCACACAAATCGAATGACGAGGTGTGGTGCATATACATTTGATGCCGTCTTGTACCAATGTTTATGTGTTTAAATAAATAATAAAATTACACTAAATAATCAAAGAGCCCACCTTTATTTGTTCTAACAAAAAATTAATGGGAGTTATTCTATGCTCAAAACAAGAAGAAAAGTACGCCGCCTGAAGTTCTTCACTTGAACAATTATCTGGAACTGAAGGAACAAAATGAAAATACTAGTTACGTTAAAACAATAATGCTTGTTACAGGAAATAAAGGGATAGGACAAAACTAAGTTAAGTAAACACTAAAAATATAAAATCTAACAAACCAAATGATTGAGCAATTTAAGACATATCAGACTCAATTTAAAGATTGTATTTACGCTATAGTAACTACTGGCCAGAAAGGTGCATAAGTGAGTATCAACCCAGGCTGTCAAACGTCCCACTAATATTAGGTTAATCTTTTTCACTACCACTTAAACTAAAGCCACTCTGGTATTCGTCTTGATAATTCCATCCCTTTATGCAAATATGGTACAGAAACTTCGACCGATGCACAAATCTCCCAGGTTCTATGTTCTTTATGACTAACCAACTATTGAGACAACGAAAAGACCAAGTAAACCAAATTAATAATGTTAATGGTAGTTGTAAATGAAGATAAAGAACATAGTTTGAGAACTAATAAAATCGGTACAAAATAATGGCATAGAGATTTAGAAAAGGTCTGCACTTCTTTTTCAAGTTAACATGAAAGACTAATTCGGATCTAAGAAAATTTAAATCACCCAAAGCATGTACGAGATGCGGAATGCAGTAGTCCACTTTTGGGATGAAATATATGATCGCAGGATTTTATGTCAGATCGCGAATCTTTTCGAAGTATAAGTTGTGTTTAATGTAACCACCTATGGAGATATTTATAAGGTGTAGTCTAAAGCTAGAGAAACAAATCGGATTTGCACATCTGAATGGCGGCAAATTAACAAATTGAAATAAAGCTATAAACAATCCCAACATCCAAAAAGAAAAGGAACTAAATAACTAGAATGCAATAACAGCAGTGGATGTAAGTACATCAGTATACTAAGAAATATTCAACTTATGTGATCTAGTTAGACTTTGGGATCAACTAAATTGGATTAGCTGTTGAGCTACCTTTTTATGCAATATATCTTGGACACGGCTGAGGGTAGATATACATGTTTATGAACCCTATAAAAATGAATAATTGTACTATTTGCAAAGTAAAATAAAGCCTTCTATCTTTTATGTCACTTATCTTTAAATTAATTAAATATATCTGGAGCATTTATACGGCTTTTCCGTAATATCTAATCAATCCAAATGTTTGCTGTGGTCGCCCCATAAATCCAAGATACAAAATCAGAATGAACGTTTTTGACCATTTCCGTGTCAAAAACTATATGTGCATTTGATGGAAAAAGAGTAGCATTCACATTAGCTTTCACTTTTAATCGGGATGAAAATAGCAATTTTACAAACAATACCAAAACTATAGAATGTTACTTCAATATTCTATTGTTATCTATTTGTAACGAATCACCACTGCTTCCTAAATTATTCGATACAAAGCATTTTCACACAAATAGAAAGTAAAAGCTAGTTCGTAAAAAATAATCAAAATTGTTTAATTACTTAGCCGGAATGGTTCTAAATAATCTGATATAAGTTTGTCATCTTCAGGAAAACGAACTCTGCGTATCGATTTGAAAGGTGCGTCAGAATTTGATCTAGTTAACTTTGCTTCTGAATGGCCACAATGGATAGCTGACACAAAGTCGATATTGTTGGTCATTCGGTTTTAGCCCTTCGAAAATATTAGTTATGAAAACAGAATACAATAAACAAAAAGCGAATCAAAATGACCATAAAAATACTTGAATTTTTTAAGCATGCTAAATAGATCTCATAGTAGAAGATAAAATTCCGAAAATTAAAGTGAAGGATGTGATATTATTTTAATTCAAAGCGAAAAAATCCTTTTCTTGAACTAGTTCTAGTATGAACAGAGGACTGACTTAAGGCGACGACGACAAATCATCTACCGAACATGTATGAGATATATTACGAGTGAAAAGCACTAGACTCTCAACCACTAGGTTGCAAGTTGACATCCCGCCCCACATACTTAAGACTGGACAACTGGATAGTATCACTAGCTTTCACAAAAAAGCAACTCAAGAGAGTAAATGATCTTGAACTCGACTCTATCAACACTAAATCTATTGAAAAGTGAAGCATCTGCAAATCGTATGAAAACGTACACATTTTCATTGAACTGAGGAATTACTATATATCAAAAGCATGAAAAACTGTTAGACATTTACTTATTTGAACACATAGATATTGGTACAAGGGGGCACCAGATACATAAACGCCACACAAATCTCATTTGATTTGTGTGAGGGCTGGGATACTGCCCGTGTGCCCAGACCAAAGCAGGTGGTTCTATTAGGGAGCCACATCCGGAGCCTTCGACATAAAGGTCTTATCCACAAGGCAGTGGAGCAGCGTCACGAGATGCAGTCCCATGGTAGCCGGTGACCAATAATTGTTTCACACGCCATTTGTCCCTTCAGGATACTGGAGCCCATATGCACCATTGGTTTGGAATCGGGGTTTTCCAACTCTCCTAGGTGAACTCTCCGCGTCCACTAATCTGGTTAAAGCGTCAGACATTCACTTTTCGTCCTCTCAATGCCGTAAACAACACCCCCACTGCGAGAAGACAGTGAGTAGGACTTGCCTGGCATTGGCTGTATACTCGTGGCCATGTGGGAGCATTTCGAGAGGGAGAGCAGTATCTCCCCACTCTCGGTCGTACCAGGGCATTTGGGGGCCTCTTAGACAACTTATTGTGGATTTGTAAAGGGTAGTGCTTCGTGAACATGAGTGGGAACTCGTTGTCTTTGGTATTGTGATGACACGATTGTTTAATTGTCCATAAGATGATTGGGAAATATATCCTCTTGTTTAACTGATTGTAAAGTGGATACATTTTACCCATCCATTGATTGCCTTTAGGTCTATGTGATGTATTTCTATTTATTGAGCAGTTTAAGTTCTAAATGTTTACAAAGTACGTCAGGTGATGGAACGTTGAAGGCAACGACATTAAAACTAGTAATGAGTTCCACGGTAAAAATTAATATAATTGGCCAGATCCTTCATCATTTAGTTAATTTATAAAAAGCATTTTGGTACATTAGCGAACCGAATAAATTGTACCACACATTAAGTAACAGCAAGCAAAAAACTGAGGCAAGTATAGTGCAGAAAAGCAAAATTTCTTCTAGTTAATGGAGTTCATCTTTTTAACTGGTATTTATAGAACTAAAACAAGGTCACCACTAGATCCTAATTTAGTTCATATCTAATAGTCTCGAGCCAGTGTGCCCAACGACCTTTAGGACCCCAAGTGGAAAGTCACTAAGGACCAACAAATGCTAATCACATACATCTATGTTTCATACTACGGTCACAAAGTGACCATTATTGGGTCTTTTTTCTACCCAATCCCAGCCTCGGCAAACAGTATGAGATGTGTAAACCACCGCGATGGTATTCATAGACAAAACCAAGTCCCCAAAATCAATGCTTCAAGATGGTGATATCAAGTGAATTATTATCACGGAGACCAAACACATAATACAGGACCTCAGTATTTCGGACGTGATTTCGTCATCGAGTCCGGGTAATTCCACAAATCCAGCGATAATCAGAAACGGAATCACCGAAATATGTGTAAAAAGACCATAACTAGATGCCGTACTATTTACGAAAGACAGTTGGTGTATGACAACCGTACTTGTCCAAAACGATTGTTTTCGTACGTTAAACGGAGAACAAAACGTAGTGGTGGTATTCCCCCATTACTGTTACACGGAAATTCAGATTTACTAGCTCAATCAGATCTGGCAAAAGCTGAGGCTTTATCAAACTATTTTAGCGAAGTCTACTCTACGTGTATTGTTTAAAGTACTTGTCTTAATCCCACCGCTGACGTACCAGCTATAGGGCCTGTACATGTGACTGATGAAACTGTTCTTCCATTGACCACTAACCTCAAACCTTGTAGGATACCGAGCCCTGGCGGGTTACATTCACGATTGCTATCATCTCTTGTGGACATTATTTCAAGACCACTTACAATGCTTTTCAACGTGTCCCTTTCATTCACTCAACCTCCTAGAGATTGGAAAGATGCTCTAGTCAGTCGTATATTTAAAGATGTTCAGAGACAGATCGTATCTAACTACCGACCTGTCAGTCTTACCAGCATAGTCGTTAGGTTACTTGAAAAGATAACTAACTCACATAGATTCGTACAATCTGTTAACTCCTGAACAACAGGGGTTTCGAAACAGGCATTCATGCTTGACCAACTTACTTATTTTGATGGAGATTTGGACAGCGGCCCTTGATAACAGTCTGTCTGCTGATATGACATTCATAGACTTTAGCAAAGCATTTGACAGGGTTTCGAACTTAGGTCTTCGGAATAACAGATGCTGTACAGGAATGGATAGGAAAATTCTTATGTGACCGCAAACACAGAAGGAGAGTCAATGGGACGCTATCCGAATGGAAGCTGGTCAAAAGTGATGTATCCCAAGGCACCACCTTAGGCCCTCTACTTTTCCTTCTCTACGTTAGTGAATTACCGCTGTTGCCTAAATCGTCGACATTGTTTGCGGATGATGTAAAAATCTGGAGAACAATAAGAAGTGAGGCTGATCATTTGGATCTTTGAGCTGGCCTAGACAAATTAGTTAGATGGGCTCGATGTTGGGGCTTAAAAGTTAATTCTAGGAAGAGTGTGTTCATGAACATCGGACACGGCAATAGTTACCAGTATACTATTGAAGGTACATCTCCATGCGTGCAGGAATATAGACCTAGGGGTAGTAATAATAATTCACGACTTGAAAACAACTACGTATTGCAACGCAGCAGCTCCCAAAGGGCTTCGTGCGCTATAGTCACTTCACCGAGCATTCAAATGCTTTGACAAGATGTTTCGAATTTTATATCCCACCTATGCAGGATCACTTACAGTACTGTATTCAAGCAGCTGGCCCATGTTCGAATAAGGATGCTAACTCACTTGAGCGTGTTCAGCGTGTGGGAACAGAATTAGTGAAGGATCTTTCTAAACTCCCCTACGATGAGCGCTTAAAACCCCTAAACCTTTTCCCCTTGTTATACCGTAAGACGCGGGGTGACCTCATATTGGCATTTCGTATCTTTGATTGCAACTTGGGCGTTAATATCTCTTATCTTTTTGCTCCTTTCAGCACTGATAACTTCCGAGGTCATAGCAAGAGGGTTCACAAACCGCGATCAAATAAACTTAAAGTGGAGTTCTGTTTTTCTCACTGAGTGGTCAACGACTGGAACGTTTTACCCGAACAAGTGGTATCAGCCCCATCGGTGAACATTTTCAAGCTGGCCCTTCACTGGAAGGCAAACTGTCAAGATTAACAGAGGTCCACCAACCTACCATCCTTATCACTAAAGACTAGAGGCTGAATAACCGAAGTTTAAAAGTCAGATTTTTCAGGCGCAGAGCAAAGCTACTCACACTAACAAGTTGTATACCCGACCCAGTCAGACTGATAGACGTTTCTGAATAGTCTGTGGAGCGTAATGTAAGCCAACAGCTAGGTAGAAATTGAATTTAGACCTATACCCCTTCCATAATCGTTGCACAAAATACAAGCCTTTTTAGAGAAAGATACGATGGTAGGGCGAGACTCTAATTTATGGACGACCTTTGAACGAATTTTAAGTGACCTTGAGAAATATTAGCCAGTCAGAGCAAAAATATATTATACAAAACCAAGGAAATAAAATGGACACACTTCTTATACGTGGTTTAAAAGCTTGTCAGGATTAGAAAGAGGTTCAGAGGTCCTAGAGCCGGAATGCATGAAGTAGAGGAAATCATCCACATGGCTACAGAATAGTCGGCCTCTGGAGCCATGATAAAGTCTCAAAATCTCTTTCGGCCTCGACCACACAGATTCAATATTGTTTATGTGCACTCCGGTTGTTGAGTGCACAAAATGCCAGTTGTGGATAACGACACGATCCACACAACCAGGCCTATGTAGGAACCTGTACGCTCTCCAAACATCCGTATATATTGTAGTACCTGGCTGCAGCCAGTGTCACTGATGCCTTTATTATCCAGTTCTCAATAATTGTCATAATTTGTCTTAGTTAGGAATTATGTATAGGGTTCTCACCACGAACTGACATCAGATATAACGCCAAAACTTTATTTAGCCAAGTGGATGGAAGACTTCCGCGCCAAAATCCGAGATCCGTTATCTTATCCTTGATTGGTTCGTCTGCAAATTATAGTCTCGCCCAAAAATTTGAAAGGTGTGCAAGAAACCATTAGGTATTTTGAAAGCTCTTGACAAAATCCCAGAAGAACAGGAATTTCTAAAACTCCACATGTTTTGCAAAGCAAAGATTTCCTATAAACCTTCTTGATGATGGGCAGATAACTTTTGTATTCAAATCCACCCAAATTATTTCGACTGTCACCATGCATTTCCACTGATACCTGTCAACTCGAAGTTTCGCTTTAGAAAAACTACGAAGGACGTCAACGTGAGCGTACAACGTAGCCTGTTAAGGTTTCCCATCTAAAGAAAAGATTTTACTTGAAAAACTAAAACTTAGTTTCTTGTTGAGCTAAATTCACAGTTCAAGTTTATTTAAATTGCATTTATTACGTATAACAAGAATGATTACATGCCAAAGCACTGAGTATTTGTAAGGCTCCTTTACCCAAATATAGTATTATATTATAAAGATGACCAAAGCATGTGGACAGGCTTACAAGTAATAAGACTTACCAAAATATTATATAGCCGTTTTACAATCCACGAGCTAGCTGAGCAAAAAACCTGGTTAGCAGACGAATCATGACCTTGGGAACAAAATCCGCTCATCCTGAACATAGTCCAATATATTAAACGGTTGATAATGATAAGGAAGCTTAAAATTATTCTTCAGTGATGAGGGTAGGTAACTTTTACGCTTGTGTAAATTCATGTAGTCTATAACACCGTGAAGATACAATCTCGTTATGAATATGCCAACAGAAGGTCCTGATACTACGTGTTCTGGTAGTGAATCCCAGTAGATCACTACTCGGTGTGAGAAACGGAACACCAGACGTGGAAGGTTCGATCTCGGTTTTGAACTCTCTTGAAAGGTTCTCTCAAATTATCAGTCCTAGACAGAAATAAAAGATATGACACATTAACACCAAGGTCATCGTTCAATATACGATGAGCCAATAGTAGGTTGTAGTGACCTACTTTTATCAAGAGAACGCGATTGGTTTAATGGAAACAATAATTATTATAATCAAATGTACCAGTGATTATTTTACTGTACTTTTTTGTTTAACTGTACTAAAGACATTCTTCCTTCGGTTGATTGTGACCTCTGCCTACCGTCGTCTTGTCTTCGATGCCCTGCATGAACTGTTTCATCCAGGTGTCGCAACTATATTACGTCTCATCGCTGCACGATACGTTTGGCCGTCCATGAATAAAGATGTCCATATGTAGCTAAAGCAATGCTTACAATGTCAACGACCGAAAGTGCACAGGCACGTAGCTGTCCCCATCGGCACGTTCGCTACGCCTGATGCACGCTTTGATCACGTTCATATAGACATTGTGGGACCTCTGTCACCACCGCATGGGTATGATCACATACTCACGTGCATCGAGCGCTTTACAAGATGGCCCGAAGCTATTCTCATCACGTCTATTACGGCGGAGACAGTTGCTCACCGCTTCGTAGAACGATGGATAGCTCTATATGGTTGTCCCTCGTCTGTCACGACTGACGGAGGACAACAATTTGAGTCCGCATTATTCTCCTCACTGACCCGGCTGCTTGGTACGGTTTCATCGTCAACTCAAAAGTGCTCTTCGAGCACACGAGAAAAACAATTGATACGCAGCTTTACCGCTCGTCCTCTTGGGTATCAGAACGAGCTTTAAGGCAGATATCCAATGTTCAGCCACTAAACTTGTGTACGACACGACATTGCGTCTGCCTGAGGAATTTTTCACACCACGGAGCAGTAACCATTTCGGTAAATCAGACTGCGTCCATCGACTGTCTGAATATATACGAACACTGCCTCCGGTGTCAACTCCAATACAACATCGACAGGTCGTTCTCCCTCGAGAGTTATCTGCCTGTTCACATGTTTTCACGCGAGTAGATTCGGTACGCAAACCTCCACAACAGCCTTACGAAGGACCTTTACACGTGATGTCTCGTCACGAAAAGACCTTCAAGGTTGATCGACATGAAATTGTCGAATAAAGAGTGGAATATATCGTGACGTGAATGAAATACGACTACGATTCGGTACGCGTACATCGAAGTCTATTATATTAATATTTTTCTTATCGTTATCCGTCATCTCAAGTTGTTGCCAGAATATTATATATCGAAAAATATCAATATGAAAATATGCAACAGACGTGGATAGATAAGTAACAGACTCATCGCAATTGGCTTCTATGGGAGATTCGCCAGAGGTTGAGACATGTTCTCGGATTTGGGTGGCGCCGGGATGTATTTGTTGGATATCTCGTGGTATCGAAGGAATACCGAGATCGTGCCGAAGGAGTACAAGCGGAATCACTAAGCAAACGTAAGTGCGTGAAAGGTCACAATCAACGGAAGGAAGAATGTCTTTAGTACAGTTAAACAAAAAAGTACAGTAAAATAATCACTGGTACAATTGATTATAATAATTATTGTTTCCATTAAACCAATCGCGTTCTCTTGATAAAAGTAGGTCACTACAACCTACTATTGGCTCATCGTATATTGAACGATGACCTTGGTGTTAATGTGTCATATCTTTTATTTCTGTCTAGGACTGATAATTTGAGAGAACCTTTCAAGAGAGTTCAAAACCGAGATCGAACCTTCCACGTCTGGTGTTCCGTTTCTCACACCGAGTAGTGATCTACTGGGATTCACTACCAGAACACGTAGTATCAGGACCTTCTGTTGGCATATTCATAACGAGATTGTATCTTCACGGTGTTATAGACTACAAGAGTTCACATAACTGGACTAAACATTGAGCAACTCACAAGAATTTAGGATAATATTAAGTTTTCATGATGAGGCATAATTGTTCAGCATCCACGACACTTTGGAGGGATATTACAACTTTAAACATTAGAGGTAGTCGAAATCTGATGGTGAAGAGTAGGAACATAAGAGCATAACTAATAGTCCATGAATAGTGGAAAAGGTTAAACCAAGCGTTCTATCATTTGTTTGCATTCATATAAATGATAATAGGGGTCCGTTTTATTCATGATCAGTCTAGATATTAGGTAGTCCATAATATAGTTACTCATTGGTGAGCGGGAGTTCAGGGAATATTTGACGAAGCTCTTCAGTGTCAAGTAATAGTGTTATTAGTCTTTTGAACTTGGTGATGGTGTAACAGTCACGGATAGATATTGGCAATCTACTCCATAATAAACTGGGAAATAATTATGGTGTTGTATACTTAGGTCGGATATATTACTGTCAGCCCATGCTTCAGATATCAATAAATGTGATGGTCGATAAATGGATACAAACAGGGATAAATCCGTCCGTTTATTACAGACCAACCTAGTGTAGATAAGACACATATTAAACAAATGGCCCACCAGGTTAAAATGGGTGAGAATATTCCGATTAAATTTGTCATAAACGTCAAGGGTGTGATATGGGTCTAAAGTGAGAGATTGGTTGTTATTCAATAGCTCGTTATTTTGATATCTGGAGTTAGAGGAGGATATTAAGTAAGAA